AGAGAGACACAGAGAGACACAGAGACAGAGAGAGACACACAGAGACAGAGAGAGACACACAGACAGAGAGACACACAGAGACAGAGACACACAGAGACAGAGAGAGACACAGAGAGACACAGAGACAGAGAGAGACACAGAGAGACAGAGAGAGACACACAGAGACACAGACACAGAGACACAGAGACAGAGAGAGACACAGAGACAGAGAGACACAGAGAGACAGAGACAGAGAGACACACAGACAGAGAGAGACACAGAGAGACACAGAGACAGAGAGAGACACACAGAGACACAGAGACAGAGAGACACAGAGAGAGACAGAGAGACACAGAGAGAGACAGAGAGAGACACAGAGACAGAGAGAGAGACAGAGAGAGACACAGAGACAGAGAGAGAGACAGAGAGAGAGACACAGAGACGGAGAGAGACACACAGAGACAGAGAGAGGACGTTTGAGATGAGGACGTTTGAGATGAGGACGTCTCACTCAGGAACTAAGAAAGTACCGATAGTAGAACCGATAACTCTGGACCTCATCAATACTAACGGGTTCTACTCATTTAGAACCGGTTCCCGGGGGTCACCTGTCCTCTGCAGCGATGTTGGCGACCCACAAACATCGATTTCTTATTTCTATTTTCTCCATATTTATTGTTCTTGCTGTATATTACAGTATAATACACATCTTTCTACACACTTATGTCTATTCTCTATATGTATTTATACGTTTAGATTGTAGAATAGTAGCATCTGTACGTTAGGGCTGGGCGGTATGACCAAAAATGCATATCACGGTATTTTGTACGATTCTGGCGGTTTCACGGTATATCACGGTGTTTTTGTTTTCGCGTTAAAGCATTAATTAATTAACGCCGAAAAGAACCGGCCCAGCCAACCGGCCAGCGAGCGGTGAACAGCTGTTTGTGTGGCGTGGCTTCCGTTCCGTCACTTCCTGTTTCCTTCACCTACATTCCCCTGGGTCCTAAGCCCCTCCATGTACCAACGTACATTTATAGCAAATACCACACATTTCACACGTTAATCAGTGTTTCATATCTGTCTGACCAAAATACCTTTTGTTGTTCAGTCTTTGTTCATCCTGCATCGCTCTTTTCTGTTCTTCAATGTAACGTTACTGGAGCGACAGAGCCTCTCCCAGCTGTTAGCAGACTGTTGTTAGCTAGCTGTACCCAGCATGCAGTTCGGCGGTGAAATTTTATAAATGTACAATTATTAGTGTCACAAACTATTGTGTGTGGTGTTTTGCCGTGTTAAAGAGCGTTAGTTGTGGGTTGTTAATTGTTGTTATAAAGTTATAACCATGACTAGGGTTCCCTCTCAATACAGTTAAGAGAACTAGCTCCGACCATAGCGCTCACAGTCTGTTGTCTGATCCACACTCCAGAGCAGAAGGTTGCGGTAATGCACCAATAAGATGGATGCCAACTGCCATAAAAGAAGAAGAAGAAGAAGAAGTAGCGCTCTCAGCGGCGAACAATATAAACATCGAACAAAAAGTTCGGAAATTAGTGTTTGGTATATTATATCTCTGTTGTAACAATGCTCATTGGCAATAAATGTTATACCGTTGGAAAGCCTGTTTATTTACCTTTTAAACGGTGCCCCATTTGTAAGGATCATGCATATGTGGGATGAGCAGCACAGCTGAGTATGTGGGTTGCGGCCATGAAAAATTTGCCAAATCTTCTCTGCCAAACAGCTTATTCTGCTGTTGCTATCGACTCTTGTTTGGTGGATTGGATGATTGAAGTCTATCAGTAACAAGGAAGAAACAAGACATATTGGCAATTTTACAATTTATTCATTTAACAAACAGGAGCCTCAGTAGCATGTGGAAGAACCCTACACAGCCACAACAGCCTGGCACCTCCTCCTCATGATGGTCACCAGCCTGCTCACACACTGCTGTGGGATGGCATTCCACTCCTCAAGCAGGATTTCTCGCAAGTCAGCCAACGTGGTTGTGTTGGTCACTCTGGCACAAACAGCTGGTCCCACAAGTGTTCAATTGGGTTAAGGTCAGGACCATTCCATCCTCTCTACTCCCAAATTGTGGAGGTAGTCTCTGATAAACCGCTCTGTGGGGGCGAGCGTTGTCATCTTGGAGGATGGAGTTCGGTCCCAGACTGTGTAGAAATGGGATTGCCACTGGTTGCAGAATCTCATCTCGATATCTCTCTGCATTGAGATTGCCTCCAATGAAGACAAGCCTCGTTTTTCCAGTGATGGAGATCCCGCCCCACACATCACACTGCCTCCACCAAAAGGTGTTACTCTATCGGTGCAGCAATCAGCATAGTGTTCTCCCCGTCTTCTCCACACTTTGACCCTACGATCCAACTTCCTTAGGCAGAATCTGGACTCATCGCTGAACATAACGTTCCTCCACATGTTCAGGCAGAGAAGATTTGGCAAATTTTTCATGGGCGCAACCCACATACTCAGCTGTGCTGCTCATCCAAGAAATGCATGATCCTTACAAATGGGGCACCGTTTAAAAAGGTAAATAAACAGGCTTTCCAACGGTATAACATTTATTGCCAAGAAGCATTGTTACAACAGAGAAATAATCTACCAAATACTAATTTCCGAACTTTTTGTTCGATGTTTATTTTGCTGCCTGTTAAAGCGCGACAGAAGTTGCCTTGGCTGTGCACTGGTATGACGGTATATGAAAAATTCATATCGTACGCGAAATTGAAACCGGTATACCGGTTGAACCGGTATACCGCCCAGCCTTACTGTATGTACAATCTCCCCCAGTGATCAATAACGTGTTTCTGGTTCTGATACGTTTGAAACGTGTTCAGTGAAGATTGAAAATAGATGAAAACATCAAAGCCGACGATGCTTTCCAACACTATAATATTCCATAATGCTGAATTGATCCTCATCCTCTGTTGTCTCCTCCTGCAGCTTCCCATTAAAGCTACCCACCAGAACACTCACACCAAAGTGAGCACGGAGCACAACAAGGAATGTCTGATCAACATCTCCAAGTACAAGTTCTCCCTCGTCATCAGTGGCCTCACCACCATCCTCAAGAACGTCAACAACATGGTGAGTGGACATGCACATTAATACTCCACCATTACTCCCAATGTGACAATACTCTGGATTAGATATGGTTCATGTAAACATATTCCTTTTGGATATTGTGAAAGAGCTCTTTGTATCATTTAAAACCTGTGTGCTATGTTGATGTTGTTCAGGTTCTAGGATCATTCTTTGGACATGTATACATATATGATATGAAGAAATATCTTTTAGAGAAGCTGTTTGAAGGAATTTAAGAGGTCCAACAAGTCCTCCACCTCTGGAACACGCTGAGAAATCAAACATCTGTTAGCTCCCGATGTTCACTTTGACTTATTTAGACGAGATAAAAACATCTGTTAGCTCCCGATGTTCACGTTGACTTATTTAGACGTGATAAAAACATGTTAGCTCCCGATGTTCACTTTGACGTATTTAGACGTGATAAAAAC